TAATAGCGGAACGGGCGGTCAAGTAGCGACGACGGTGGTCATAATTTGCATGACGATAAACGGTTGTGATTCCTCGCATTTAGTTTTTGTTGTAATTTGTTCCTAATCTCCGCCAAGGCAGAGGAGAGGCCCCCCCCCCCTTCTTCATTTTGCCCCCACGCTTGCGCTGCACAATGGGGCGGCGATGGCTCGATTTGACCCAAAAGAGTTGTCATTGTTTGCAGGCAATGTGGACGCATGGATTAAAATATTCCTGCCGACAACTACACAGATGCACACGGTCAGCCTCGTAGATTACAGAGAGAGAGGCAAGCGCTCTTAGCGTGCGCCTATGAAGGCCAGCATGGCACATGCTGCTCAAATGAGCACCGAGGGATTGGTGATCATCTCCCGTTTATAGCCCCACGGAGCCAGTGGTGTAAATTCCACATTTCTGTGGCGGGGGCAAGTATTTACATCGGGTAACGACCGTTGGCTTCAACGAAAAAGTGGTACTGAGTTTATCGACCCCGGAGGGATAGGATAATTGCCCGAGTCGACCGCCCGACTCCTTTCTTCCGCACCACAACCTAAACCTGCTTCGAAATTCGCAACCTTTCCGATTACGAGCCGTTCCCTGGCTAGCCGGCCCGCCCGCCCGCCCGCCCAGTCTCTCGCTGAGGCTCCCCGCGGGACCCCAAATATGGATTGGGCCACGTCTCTTGTTTTGTTTGCTCGGCGACAAAAGCGGTAGCCGCAAGACGAGGCCCCATCGGGTGTCTGCAAGAGCGAACGAGCGAGCAGCGCGCGCGCGGGGGCGACAATTGCGTTGGGCAACTGCCCTCGGTGGGTTTCCGAGCACGGGCGGAGAGGGCGCGAATTGTTGATCTTGCGGACCCACTCGGCTGGCCTCCCGGGAGGCGTTTTGTGTGCGGTGTGAAGGAACGCACGGCCGCGGTCAGGTGAGAAGGCAGCGGGCGGCGCAAGGTGTACACTGGACGTCTGTGAAAAAGGGCTTCGTAGCTCGTCGGATTCCTACAGTTTAAATAAATATTCTGATTCTGATAAGGTGTTAAACAATACAATGGTACGGATTTTTAGGGGGTTTCTTTCACACGCGTGGATAGTGTAACACTTCACAATGCGCGATTTTTTTCTCGGAAATGTTTGATTGGCAGTACGGAAGTGGACGGGTAGTGCCGTGAGGACAAAACTGCATTTGCGTGCTTGCAAATGAGTCTCTTTAATGATGTTTAGTTTTATGTAGGCGCGCCGTTCGTAGCAAATTGCATCTCACAATCGCCGAGGAACCACCAACGAGCTCCCAAGTGCTCTACAAGTTACGATGTGTTCAGCCAATTAGCGAGTGTTTGTACAACCTCCTTGGGTCTACAAGCTTGTGGCCAACCCCCTTTTGATCAATGTGGCCAGATTTCAATCGGGCGATTACCGAATAGCAGCGTAAAATGTACGCTCAAGTTTAGTTTGTATTGGAGCATCGTCACAGGAGTTGCTGTGCCCCCCCCCCCCCCCCCAACGTTATAGGCGAGATGGACAGACAGCCGGACAAATAGACAGACGGGGTTAATGCGTTGAGCAAGCGCAGAGCCTTTGACGTAATCGACGTCTCGCAAAGGCAGTTTCCGTGCGCGGGTGGACTGGTGTCGGCTTGGATTTTATTTTTTCTATTTTACTGGGTAAGGCCCACTGAGCTACAGAGCTGTAATTACCAGCGAAACGTCGGTCTCAAATTGTAAATGTTGTGGATTTACCCTCCAACACACCGGTGGGCTGAAGTCACTATCTAATTGGCACGTTTTGTTTCAAGTAATAACCTTTACTAATTGGCTGTGTCAAGTGGTGGCGGGTTAACAACACATTGAAATTTACGCGTTGGAACACAAAAAAACTTTATTATGAATAGTAAAACTAAACTATTTTCATTTTTGACAGGTGAGGCCCACTGACCTTTTCTCAGATGCAACTGGCTACAAATGATAGCTCCACAAAGTGGCTCATCACATGGAATTTTATAGCAGCCAAATAACTCCAAACGCACGTCGGTTTTAATCGTGGAGGGAAAAACCGGAGGGACCTTGCAGAAAAATCCACGCGACCACGGAGAGAGAGAGAGAGACACGCAAACTCCAAATATACAGCAGTGTTCAGGCTCGGGATCGAACCCACGACCACCTGCATACCGAGCGAGGTAGTTAACAGCTCGCCACAGCAGCAGCACCCCCCGCGGCTGCCTGGGTGACGAAGGGCGACCCCAGGCCCTTCTCGACGGTGCTCTCTCGGGGCGGACACGCCCGCGCGGCATTCCAAGGGCTCGGGGGGATGATGCATTTGTCTCGTAGAGCGTGGGCCGGAATCTATTCATTTATTTATTATTTTGAGGCCGCCAGATCTTGCTCGCTCAGCCAGACGAAGTGCCCTCTCCTTTTTTTTAAAAAAAGGGGAAAAAAGTGTTCGGCGAATTAATCTATTTTGCTCTCCTCTCCGAGATTTAAACAAAGATGACGCAAAAGACGTCCAACGTTGCGCATCGAAAATGTTACGGCATATTTATTTATTTATTTCATTCCGCGCAGCGGGTGAACGCCGGAGAAAACTGCAGAGATTGTTGAATAAGTTAGCGGTTTATATAGAAAAACAATGTGGTGCACGCGGCCTCGCCGCAGCAGCTCCGTGGCGGTGAGCGGCGGGTCGCGCGTGATGTGTAAAGTGTGGGTAACCCCTGCCTCTCCCAGCACGTCTGGTTATAGCGTGGACGAGTAGTCCGCCCCAGCCGATTTGCACTGGGGGAAGGGGTGGTAGGAGAGGCGGGGGGGAATTGAATATTCGGTTTTGCTTTCACGTTGATCGACGTTTGCGATATTTTCGACTGCTTTAGCTCAGGTGTCAGCAACCTGCGGCTCCGGGACCGCGTGCGCCTCTTTAAGGACTTTAAGGACTGCCCCGTGACGTTTTCCGCGTGTGTTGCGGCTCTGGAAATATTGAGATTTTTTTTAAAATACCGAATTCGAAAGAAAAAAATGTGCTTAGTTTTGTCATTTTGGTTTAGTGTTTGGTCTCGTCGCCGTTCACTTCATCGCCGCACTTTTATTTGTTTTTGCTTTCGTCAACTTCGTGACCCAGATCACCGTTGCCAATGAGACTCTAGCCCGGGTCTCTTGAGTTCTCACCTGGTTAAATACCCCCCCCCCCCCCCCCCCACTTGAACTAGAGAATGCCAAATACTGCTCTAGAGGGGGCTCTCCCGAGCTCCATTGAGTGGAGGCTCTTTCCGCTAGCATTGGCCTGAGCGAGAAATTGCAGGGCTGCGCCTTTGCTTTTATAACCTTTATTGCTCTGTTTATATCAATTCAAGCTCTGGGGGAGGAGGAGGAGGAGGAGGAGGGAGGGAGAATGTTTGCAAAACCTAACACCGATAACTGCAAAGTCGACACGCAACATCGCGTGACATCGTCACGATCTACAAGACTGAGGTCGTTACGTTGTGTGTGTGTTGTAACAAAGCCCCAAATTAACAAAAAATAAAATTACCACGAAATATCACTCGAACAAGATACCGTATCGGCCGTCCCCTGAGCGACGCCAATTAACCAGATCTCATTGCAAACGAAAGCCACTACATTGCACCGGGTTAATTAAAACGCCGCTAACAACACGTAAACAATCGACACCTCCCTTAACAACAACAACAATAAATAAGACGGCGATAGCGCCGTCGGGAGCGGCCAGCGGAGTGCCACGCGGAGATCGGTGAGCACAGCGAGCGGTGACCCGAAGCCAGAGATGGTGGCTTTGATGAGACCGTGAAGGTAGAAACGGCGACTCTGTAAACAACAGGGTGTTCGTGACCATCGCAACGGTGGCTACGAGATGTTAACTGCCTCGCCTGGTACACAGGAGGTCGTGCGTTCGACCCCGATCCTGACGATGCCTTTATATTTGGAGTTTGTCTATTCTCCCCGTTTTCGAGTGGAATTAGAAACACACGTTGAGAGTATTTGACTGCGATACATTTCCACGCGATAAGCCACTTCGTTGAGCTATCATTTGTGGGCAGGTCGCTTCTGATAAAGAGCTGTATAGCTCAGAGGGCCTTACCTGGTAAAATAAAACATAGTTCGTCATAGTTTAGTAGCCTAAAACTCTCCACACATTCGTCAATGACACCGTGTGTGGCTGTAAAAGGAAAAGTATATAATAGTCGACGTTTCGGTCAAGGGCCCTTCTTCATGGCACGTAAAATAGAGTGGCCAGAGGGGTCGAGTGGATAGGAGTTTGGGACTGTATTTTATACAGTGGGTCCCTAATTAGAATTACATTTTAAATTATGGTTTTATGATTAACAGTAAATTAAACAGTTACCTATTATTTAGTAACAGATGCATAATTTTATTATCGAAAACGTATTTCTAAATAAACGTATTCGCATTGTAAGTAAAATTATAACAATTTCCTGGCACATTGTATTATGGGTAGAACTTCTGTCGATTGTTAATTGAATCCACAATTAGCATGATCCACGTAGTTACACATTCATGGGCCGAGCTACAGTCCATCATAACTACATAGTTGCGGCAGATATGCGGTGCTGCTGCTGCTGCTTGCTGTATACTCGCTTGTGTAACATCGCAATGTCGCAGTATTTATAGGTCAGATCAGCATCCGGTGGCAGCACAGGGGAAGTCATTCTGGAACGCGGCAGCAGCTTTCATCTCTAAGGCGACCCCTCGCGAGGATCTCCTTTGTCTCCAACGACAACCGTCCCGTGTAAATTATACATCACAATTAAATAGATATTATTATTATTATTGATGAGTGACGCCGCGGGCACGCTCGCACGCGGCCAGGTCGGACGAGCCCCTTGCTCTGTGGCACTGAGATCGCCTTCGGGGTTCACTCTGTTTGGCCAAATCGTTCCAAGGCAATAACCGGCACTTGAATACGCGTGTGAATGTCCCTCCCTACCTCGTCTCCCTCCCATCGTCTCCCTCCCCTCCCCCTAGAGAACGCGTGCGACGAGGAGCTGCTGCGCTGCCAGAACGGCGGCGAGTGCCGCGACCGCCAGCGCTGCGCTTGCGCGCCCGGCTACTCGGGCGCGCTCTGCGAGGAGCGCAGCGGCTGCCGCGGCCGCGGTGCCGGCTGCGGCGGCTCGGGAACGACGCCGCGCCCGGACCCCGGCGGCCTCCTGCTGGCGCTGCTGCTGGCGGCGCCGCTGCTGGTGGCGCTGCTGGTGCAGTCTACGACCCAGGAGTTGCCGCGCGCCGCTGCTGCCCCTGCGTCGGCCTGAGCGCCCAGAGGCACGAGCGAGAGGGCCGCGAGTGAGCGCCGCGCCCGCTGAGAGGCTGGGACGCGGTCGCACGGACGAGCGGGGTTCTGAGTCAAGCGGAGCCGCTGAGAAGTCGCCACTTTAGGGCTCCCCAGCTAAGTGCTCCCGCTGCCCAGCCCGGGGGGTTGTACGTGACAATCTGCCCCTCTCCTTCCCCCCACCAAATCCAACAACCCCCCCCCCCCACCTACCCACCCAAGTCCCAAATACCACCAGGGAATCGCGCTCGCAGAGTGTGGCCGGTTCATATCAGGGTCCTCTTAATGGATTTTCTGTGTTCTCCAGCCTACGACGCAACCAGCGAGCGACCGAGCGAGCGAGAGGAAAAGAGTGAGAGAGGTGACCTGGAGCAATGTGGATCGCAAGGGCGGGCGTTAGTTCGGCCGAGTGTGGTGCACGCAGATGTGGCCTAGAGGAACGTGGGGGTGGGGGGGCCCAGGGAAGAGGGTGTCCGGGTTTGAGTTTTTGCTGTTGTGTGCCCGGCGCTGGCCACGGTCGGTGTTCGGTCGAGGAGACGGCTTGCGAATGGCTCCGAGAGGGCGGTGGGTCACCCATCAAGGGGGTTGCGTGCGCGCGCGTCGCCTGTCACAACCGCGACAAAACTACGGCACCTCCAACCGTAACCTTTAACGCACCGTTGGGGCAGGAGCGGGGACCTGTTCGCGAGTAGCGCCGATCGAGGCCAGCATACGGCACGCGGCGGGGATGGGTGGCCAGCACCGCGTTTTCTGTTTTCTTCCCGAGAGACTGTTCGGGTACGCGGGAGGCCCAGGGCAGGGCCACATACTGCCAGGGATTGAACCTAGGTTGACGGGTTTTGGCGCAGTGCACCGACTGCCAGGGCCAGACAAGGGCGGTGGGCGGGGGGGGCAAGGGGGGTGGGGCAGTTTGCCCCAGGCCTCGATCCAAAGGGGGCCCCGAAGGAAGTCTAATCCGACATTTTTCATCGGGCCTCCAAAAATCTTTTGGCCGCCCTGTTAACCAATGCACCACCACTCCCGCGCGCGCGCACGCACACACAAACGCGAATACATAGACAAAGATCCCCCTTGTAGCATTATTGACTGTTGGGGAAAGTGCTGTTAGCGAGAACCTACGAATGCCGGAACGGCACACGAGGGAGTGGTGGGGTTAAAACCACGCCCGACCGCTGTTGTCCCCCAAGTGATGATGTTTACTCACCGCACCAGGCACTCACTTAATGCCGAGTTAACCTCACACACTCACACGCGCACACAAGAACATCATCCGCCATTCGCCACTAAGTGACGGTGACGTCACCACGGAGCTTGTCCCAGGCTAGGTTCACTTTGAGGTCACGTGAAACGTGAAAGGCTTGCTGGCAGGAGGTCACGGGACAGACCCATGTGTTCTGGGATGACTAAGGTAACTGGCAGATACACCACTTGTGCTCCCCATTCTGCCACCCACCCACCCGCACACACATGTACGCACAAATGCATATGCAGGTAAATATCTCCAAATAGCCTACAAAAGCTGTTGGGACAACTAATGTTGGCAACCTATGAAGGCCATGTACACATAGACGTGCACGCACAATGACAAAGATCTCCCGTATAGCCATGACATACTGTCTGGGCAAGTGCTCCTAGCGAGCACCTATGAAGGCCGGAACGGTGGGTGGCCAGCACCACGCTCGACCGCCTTTGTCTCCCCAGTGGCGATGTTTACACACCGCACCAGGTACTCATTTGAGGTTGAGTCGACCAAGGGGAGGGCCAGGACCGGTTCAGATAATCGTCATTGCTGTTGACCGTGAGCGGGATTCGAACTCGAGTCGCCTGGTTCGTGGTGCAGTGTACTTCACCGCGACAACACGGCACACACAAACATCCACCACACACAGCAATTGCACAGCAGCAGGCTGCACACTCTTGACAACCCGTGACAGTTACACATCAATACTGTAGCAATGCTGTACAGATCATTCATGAAGCCCACTTCTTCCTCCCCTCCCTCTAACAACTCTTTGACTTTCTCTTCTTTCTCATTTTTTGTTTTGTAAAATAATACGAATTAAATATATATTTGTTACTCCCCCCCCTCCTCCCTCCTCCCGCAACTCCTTTCGATTCTAAATCTGCAAAATGCCAACGCCAAAAAACCCCCTTGCTGCAGCAATGTAAAGCCATCGTTGGACCCCCGGTTACTTGGAGAGGCGAGGGATGCGGCCTGCACTCCGTGGGCAAAAGTCAAAGTCGAAGACGTTCGCTTTGTTGAAACCGCACGGAGAATGAGGGTGACGTCGTCGCCTTACAGGGGACGCATCCGGTGTAACCATCATCCGCGTTAGAACATCATCATCATCAGCAGCAGCAGGTCCATGCACACATCATCTTCGTGGATGGCAAATAAAACGCAAAGAGCCTACGGTTGCAATGCGTTTGCGGCCACGCAACACAAACATATGTGCCGCTTAGTAAACCCATTCAGACCAATAGAGATGCACAGTGACCCGTGGAGACACATTAAAGGCAAGCCACGGTCGTGTGATTGTGGGAAATACGACCCAAACTATGGGACCACATACGAAACCCATAGAGACGCACGGAGATATTGAGGGACCCACAGGGATACATAGAGATAGAGACTCGTTGAGAGACATTAGAGGCAAACCACAGTAGTTGCGATTGTGGCCCTACAACCCACACTACGGACCACACAGTTCAACAGAGGAAGAAGATGTACAGCGGACACGACACGAGCTCTCTCTCTCTCTCTCTGCTGAAGCCCTCTCGTCATGGACAGCAGCAGCAGCAGCAGCACCAGCAACAGCAGACCTCGGACATTGGGGATTCAGCTGTCGAGGCACTTTGCTTGCTGCCGTCTTGCGCTATGAATAGAAAAAAAAATGGAATTACATCGATCGGGAGCAGCTGACCGTCGTGGAATTCGAGCCGCGGGTAAAACGAACGTCCGCACCGCTGGAACGCGGCAGGCCGCTCGGGCGCCTGCCAATTTTTGGCAATTCCACTCGCAAGCACCTTCCTTGTGTCGCCGCTCCCAGTTGTAGCGCTTAGCCTATAAACTACCGCCAGCACGGGACACGAAGGGGCGAGGTTAGGCCAGCGCCGTGCCCTGCCTGCCTGCCTGCCATCGTCGTCGTCTTCTCCCCAGCGCTGCTGTTTACACGCCCGCACCGGATACATCACTTGAGGTTGAGCCGTCTCGCATAGCGGAGGGTGGTAAGGGCGGTTGTGACATCGCCCGACCACTGATGCTGGCCGTGGGACAGGAATCGAACTCGGCTCTGCTGGGTTCGTTGCGCAGCGTGCCAACTATTGCACCACCAACTCCGCGCGTCCACGTGAAACATATACAACATACAAAGGATCCCCCTATAGCCTTAACATACTTTTGGGGCAAGTGTTGTCAGCGAGCACCGATACAGCATATGCACACACACGAACATGAAATAGCAGCAATGTATTTTGAATTTATAAATAGCAATTTGAGTCCGTGTTAAGAGTGTAAAGCCGACTCCTATTTTACGTGTACTCATGTTAAATGTTAGTATGTTTATTATTATTATATTATTCCATTTAATATATTTTATCCGAGTTGTTTGCTTCACGTAGCGAGTTATTTTAATCTCGGCCGAGAAAAGACTTTCCATGGCCAGCGTGCTGTGACCCCGAGGCAACCAAGGGATCTGCTTGCGTGGCGTCAAAAGTTGTTTTTACTGAATATTTTCAGGGCCACTGGAGTAAGCGGCAGGTAGCTCGTAGCCGCAGCCATAGCGAGAGAGGCATACTGGATGTGGTGTGCTGGGTGCGGAAATTATTTTCCGGCTTGCTGAACTGGAACATATTCAGCTCTGGGCTCAATGTTGTTTGTGATATGTTCGCAATTAAACACAATTCTGGCAAAATCGCCCGATGATGACGCTGGATGTAATTACCAGCGAAACGTTGAAAATGTTGTTAATGTCGTGGATTTACTTTCCAACCCACCGGTGGGCTCAAGTTGTAACGAATTGGCACGTTATTGTTTAAGTGACATACCTTACTCATTGGCTGTGTAAAAAAAAACAACTTTACTATGAATAGCAAAACTAAACTTTAATTTTTGACCAACAATAATGATATTCTATGTTTTTAGCTGTGGGAGAAAGCCGGAGAATATGGAGGAATCCCATGAAGTACAGCAGATCACATACAAACTTCACGCGGATAGGCGCCCGAGACGGGAATTGAACCCAGGTGCTGGTAACGTTGCCGCTCGATCAGAGTAAAGGTCTGCTCGCACACCTGCACTTCCTACATTTGTGTGTAACCACTGAGCACAGGGCTCAAAGGCGCACAGTTCCAAACGTCCAGCAGTAAATAGCAATATCGCAGTAATAAATACGAGTAAAAAAAAAAACATTTATTGAAATGAATATTGGCGGCTATCCGGCTGCCCATCTCCCGATCATGCCTCCTCTTCCTGCCTCTTTCGCCGCCTCCGTCACCTCGTTCCCTTCCCAGTGACGAATCCAAGGTGGGGGGGGGGGCTATGATGGCGATTACCCCCCTTCCATGTGACTCCGACAATTGGTATGCCATTGCTATTCACCAGAGAGGAATACACTGAAAGTAACGTGGTGCCCTATTTAAAAATCATGAAATTTCGGAATCGCTCCCGTACACCCCCCCCCCAACCTTCCCACCCTGGGAAGTTTCCAGACCCGCCTGTGTGCCCCCACCAATCCACCCCCCCCCCCCCCCTCAAGCCTCTTGGTTTCACGGTGCAGATCTCAACTGCGCCACATCGTCGAGTCATCGCGGCGCGACCCCGCGGCGCGTGTGAAGTTTATTGTGACAGACGAGATGAATGGACGCGATTGCGCGCGGGTCTGAAGTTGTGGGTGGGGGCGGGGTTGGTGGCGAGGAGGTCGCCGTGGCTTCTGATTCACGGGTGACCCCGGCGAGACGCACTTCTGTTTGGTTACCTGTGAAGGACTTTGCCGTGGGGTTTGCCCTTTTTCAGCAGAGCGAGGGCGAGCGGTCTTCGCGTGATGTCGGCGCGACCTTCCACCCCCCCCCCCCTTTCAAACTGCACCCCAGCACGGCGATCCGAAACACAAACCAATTCCATTAGCGTCGCATCGCACGCGTGCACAATGTACGGGCCCTCGTCGGCAAGCGGCCGCTGCTTGAGGGCCTCCCCCACGCAGTCCAACCTCCCGTCAGTCGCTGCTCCAGAGAAAGGGGATATAATGTGGGATATAATGTGGGATATAATGTGGGAGATGTCAAAGGTGGGAGATGCTGTGACAGGTGGGAGATGCTGTGGCAGGTGGAGTTTAATGTG